GGGGGAGAAAGATTTGCAGCCATACCGGGATTCGAACCCGGAACCCCTTACAGGGCTAGCTTCGTCCCGACCGAGATTGCATATCATCTACTGAATGGATTCGTACCGTGAGTTATACGTGTAATTTCAAGTATGTGTAATTAGATTCAAACGTCTTATTCATTCGCAACAAATAGCAACCATACTTTATAGGATGTATTATGGTATTTAAAAGGAATATATATGATTGTTATTTCAAAAAAAGTAATTGATCTTTGTAATAAATGCTGACTTATTTTCTCGTGTGTTTTTTTAGGTTTTGCCTTATGACTTTTCACTTATAATTTATCACTTTTTACTTATGACTTTTATCTTTTGACTTATAACTTTTGCCATTTGCTGTTACTCTTTGCCTTGGTATAAACATTAGTTTTACTTGATTTTAGATTAATGCAAAATAAGCAAATTTGTGATACAATCACCAAACGCAAGGGAGCACATCGGCCGAGAGTGGTGTTGAAGTCATATGATGTTTAAAATTAGAATTATTGCATTCATATGTTTTTATCATAGTTGATCGTTTTTACGTGAAGAATCAACATCAATTGTTAATGTGAAATCATATGTATAGAAGTTTTAATTCGGGACATTCATTTATAAGTGCCGTCTGCAGCATTAAGTATTAAAGTAAATAAACTATTCTTGATAAATAACGAATTTTTTATTCAGATAAAACAGTTCTTAGCTATTTTCTAGATGTGTAGCTTTATTACAAATTTTTATTAACATTTTACATCTTGAAATAGATTATTTAATTCCTTGTTGAAGTTAGTCACGGTTGACTGTTACGCTATTTTTCCGTGTTGACTATTAAAGAGGGTACAAGCGTTAGGCATTATAATACATTAAAATGAAGAGGATATATGACTTGTAAGGAATATTATGTAGTAGTAGCTTTTTAAGGCTTTGTATTTTGCTACAAGCAGTGGTGGAAAATTGATATCTCGCGAGACCGAAGGTCGAGTGAGATATCAATTTTCCATTGTTGCAAGTAGAAAAATGCATAGCCTCAGAAAGCTACTACAACATAATTTTACTTTTATTATATACCTTTTCGTTTTTAGTAAAAATGATTTTCATTAAAGGACACTTCTATAAGAAATTTCATGAAATAAAAAAATACATTTATGACTGACGGATGAATACGTAATTTATGCAAAACCGGCGACGCCTCTTATAATTTTGGATCCCGTTTCCTAATGCTACGTAAGACACAGCTAAGATCGGAACCAAGGTAAAAAATAATCCGACATTTCCATATATGGTTCCGTATTTGTCACTAACATAATACGGAATTTTCTATCCGTAGGAAGAAAATTTATAGGTATAAAATAAAATTTAGAAAACGGTTTTGACACAAATATGACTTGAAACGCTTGTGATTTCTACTTCAAACTTGTACTTATTTACATTATCATATTAAATCTGGTCCTGAATGATAAAAGACATTTTTCTCATTTGTTGACAATTTATTATTGTGTTATTGTAACTTTGTTATAAACCAAAATAAACTTGCAATTTCCCACCGGAATAAACAGTATTTAAATGTTACAGAGAATTTATTTATCTATGTAGAGATAGTGTTCCATTAAAATTATAAGTAAGAGATTGAAACGAGCAAAGTAGAAATAGAATAGCAATCACTATAGAAGTAAACTGTGTGGAACCAGCCAACTCCCTGAACAGACTACCTAAATATACCTCTACCGAGAGACCACACTACCAAAGGTTTTTACCTCACGGTCTTGACCGTGACAGGTTGGCAGAGCTATCAATAATTGTTTGGAAACAGATAACAACAAACATTTTTTATTCTACAACCGTGCTTCTTTTTGTTTAACAAAATTGTTGTCTTCTAAGAAAACAAATGTATAAGATAGGCAAAACAAACTGAATTTGAGCTTCATTATATTTACACTAAGGAACAGCTAAAAATAAACACTGCCATCAACAAAAACATCAAGTATTTACGTCACAGAAGATATACATGCAATATTTCTACAAAACAACACATCGTTGATACGTTACTAAGAAAATCATGAGTGATCTAACGAAGCTTTTGAATTAGGTAAACTAGCAACGCTAGAGTGACTGTATTATTATTGAAGTCAAGATTTTTAAAATCATTGTCAAAGCGTTATTTCTTCATTTCTAACTGTTCAAAAGAGAGAAAAAACAAACACAGTCTCTAGCTAAAAATTTCCTAGTTAACTTTAAGAAACTGTATACATTGTATAATGTATATATTAAATAACGTCCACAAGTTCGTTTTTTTTCGAAGAATAACCGACTTTATATGTAATGGAAATATCATAGTCTTTCGTAATGTGCATACCCACAACCCACAGCATGTCGAAAAAGGGAATGTTTAACTAAGAAGAACGATTAAATGTTATAATCAAAAGTTTTGTTAACAACACAATGCACTCTGTCTCGCCATTAAATTCAAGTTGATGCCTCCAACAGTTTTTGAGATAATTATGAGTTTAACAAAATCTAAGTATGAAAAAAAAAATCAACAACAAAGGGGACTTTCTAAAATGTAGCTATAATAGCAAGAAGTATGTTTCTTTCTGCCTCGCCAAGCTATATGAACATGCAAAGTTTGATTTCGATACCTCTCTTTTAAGTTTTAAAATTTACTATGGGCAAATACTGAAAATTATGAAAACCAGAATTATGAATTCATGATTTTTCACACTTTTCTCTGTCTCACCATGACCTGTATATCGATACAAGATTTGTACCATATTGGAGGTATGGACAGTATACAGTTATTTCATATGTGATTTTGGAACAGTCAAACTGTTTGCCCGAGGTGGAGGGGGTAGTGTTTTGAACTGTTGCCCAAGGCTCAAAGCACTATCCCCGACACCGAGGGGCAACTGTTTGACTGTTCCCAAATCACGCATGAAATAACTGTTTTATTACCTGATCAATTACTGTTTTAACAGTATTTGCAAAAGAAAAAAGGAACAAGAAAATAGTTTTGCACATATGTTAATAATTAAACTTAATACTTTAACTATGTCACGTCACGTCTGGTTCATGATCAAGATCGATGGACGCTTCAAGTGGGAATCCTCTATGACGTCAATGACGTCAGAGCACGAGAGGGAAACAGTCGAAACTATTGACCGGTCAACAGTTCGCGAACGTTGACGTTTTAAGAATTTCAGAAAACAGTAAATAATAACAAATTACATTTATATAAGGTATCAGGTAATAATATAAAATAAACGTGGCGGGACGTGACATTGCGTGTTTCCAATAAAGCGTCCACAATAAGTGGTGGGGTTAAAACTTGAAAATTATCGAGCGTCTGAAACAAGTGTGAAATGGTAACGCTCGTATTCCAAAAATGTCTGAATATTTCCATAGACAATAACGAAGAAAACCAAATCACTAGTGTTTGGACAATTTGCATTTGCTAAACTGTACTACTTTCCACTCGGAACGAACGCTGTTTTGCCATGAAACCTCTTAGTCCTCTTAAATGGCTCCGAAAACTTGACAAATATGTATTGCTGATGCTCTTGCAACTGCTTTGTAGTTGAAACTATTCGACAGCACGTCCTTAATTCCTACAGGTAGCTTTACTAGAATTTAAAAGGAAAAAAAAAGTATGTGTTATCTTGATTGAAATGAAATACATATATATACAAAATGAAATACAAAATCGAAAAAGAGGCAGAATTTGATAACAATGCAATTCAGAGATTTCTAACTTAGAGCGTGTTCTAAACAAGTGTGTGAAGTTTCAAAGCTGTATGATTTATTGTTTTTGAAATACCATGTTTCATGAAACTTCTTAACCACAAATTTCTTTGTCAAAATAAGGCCTATAATTTGGTCTATATTCAATATTAGATGGACGAAGAATAAACTACGAGTGAAAACCGATTGTAACTGCAGCAAACTACAATGCGAGACTGGTTTGGATTTAAAACTGGAACCTATATAAAAAAAATAAAGCGTTTGATTCATACGCTGTATGTCAATTTGAGATTATATATCCCTGTTCCGGAAATCAAAATAAAAAATGGATACCCAATGCAATGCAATGCAAGCAAAGTATTTTCTTTTCTTAATCAATTTAAAAGGCTTATATAAGAATAACATTCTGTTCTTGCATATGAGCCCACATATTTTATAAGTCTCCAGGAAACTTAGGTAAATGAACTTACCTCGTCTGAATCGTTGTCATATTCTACCATATTTTCCTTGGAAATTATAATTATAATGGCAAGCACGTGGGAAATAACAAAATCCATAAGTCATAAATCAAAAGTCATAAATCAAAGGTCATAAATCAAAAGTCATAAGAAAATAGTAAAATAAATCTATAAGTCGAAACTCAAAAGTGACCCTCCAAGGCTTCCATACTTACAGACAGACGAATATCTTCTAGTTTCTAACAATTTTAAAAGTACGATCAACCGGAGAAGAACTAAATCTATAATCACCAAATGAGATGGATCTTATGAATATCCATTAAATACGATCTTAGTTTTTTATGTTTATAAATCTATGATTGCGTTGCATTTTTATATCTTAATAATGTTTATATATATTTGGTTCCCTGTTGTGATATAAGAACCATAATAGGACCGGGAATCAAATCAGTTTTCGCTTAAGTTCTAAGAGTATAATCTTCTTAATTTATCAAATCTGATATAAGCCATTAATTGTGTATATGTGAATTGCAAATGTTGAATTTTAAAGTCATCATTACATGAAACTAAACATGCCTTTTTAAATTGCACATTTCCGGGTATCATGTATTTTGTGATCCCTGTCCAAACTTTTAAACCAATTATACGACTATGCCGCTTAAACAAAATGAAATGTTCCATTAAATTAGCGTTGGGCGGAGTCGTGCATAATTACCACGCGTTTGTCATTAATTGACTCAGAGAACGTGATGCTGCAGACTGACTGTAAATTCAAAAACAAATAAATTAGCGTACAACTTGAGTATAAAAACCAGTGACAAACTTGATTGCATTGACGATACTTAATTATTTTAACAAAAAGCGATAGTGATAAATCGGCGAAGAAGTAAGTAAATTTGCTTCGAATTATGTTTTAAAAAATTATTCTTGTCGTTTTTATTATTTTATTTATTTCACTTCATTATTATTTTATCTTTTGATATCACATTTTGCTTTATTCAATTTTTTTTCTCAATGAGTTTTTCTACCGTGTTTATTAAAATACCACATTCTGTATTTCATCGTTATTTTCGTGTTAGTTTATTCGGTAAAATTGGTATCTTAACATTGTCATTAGGAGTGCGGTTTTTTTTGGAAGAAAGTGTATTTTCCAAAATGTTAAATTGAAATAAAAACTTAAAGATTAGTAATTTGAAACTGAATGAATTAAAGTAAGTTTTTTTCTTTTTTATTTTGTTAGAAATAAAAGTTTTTTTCTTCAATTTTTAGCTTTGGTTTGCTTTAGACAGCCCAGTAAACTTTTGGAATTGTAAGGGAAAATAAAACTGAGGTACCACACATTGAAAATGTTTAAAAATATAAGTTTGAAATTATATTTTTATAATTTTCATTGTAAAATTATCAAATAAAATTGTCACGGATAAATCAGTAATCCACCCAAAAGCATAAAATTAAAGCTTCTGCATGGATAGGATTAATTATTATATTGCAAATCTTTATCAATCGGGACAATCTCGGCTATAATTCATAATACCCTTATACGAAGACTGGCGGACATGGCCAAAAAGTTGCGATTGAGTCTTCATTGCAAATCTATTATTCTGAAAAAAACATTTTCCTTTATCGCATACCCGTGCCGCATTTGCGACTCCGGAATCGTACGGCCGCGCATATATTTTGACATGACATCATTTGTGTTACACAATCATAGTGTAAAGACGCTCTAAATGTTGGCGTTACATTATAAGCGCGTCAATGATTTTTTTTAATTTTTTTTTTCACTTCAAACATTCTTTATTTTGGGTATGTTATAAATGAAATATTATATTCGTGTAGATTCATTACTGAATTTATTGAACTCGTTTTATTTTATTCACCCTGTTCAATAAATTCAGTATTGGACTTGCACCCATTCAATATAAATATCAAATAATTTATGTCGACCCAGCCGTGTTTTAATTAGTAACAATTACTAAGATTTTTTTGTTCGACCAGTACGATATAAACGCTTGTAGATTTTTTTATTACTTCTTGAAACCATCTTATAACACTGACGACTCTGACTCCTCGTCAAAATATTAAATAAATAAAAAGATATGCCAATTTAAATTAAAGTTACCACTTCCTCTCTCGTTATATTTTTTTTTCCATTTTTGACGTATTAAATATCACACCAATTATTTTAATTTAGTAACCGATTTCTTTAGTTTCTGTTATTTCTCCGACAGATGAGTTCCAACACGGAAGATGAGCTATTTTTACGGACACAGAAAGAAATTTTCCTGCGAATACTTCCCGTAGCGACAGCGGCCGGGTTTCTATTAATAGTCGGTGTGATTGGAAACATTCTGACTTTGTTATTCTACATGAAGAAAACAAAACGTTCCGTACCGACTTTACTCATTAAATATTTAGCGGCAGGGGATACAGTCACGTGTGCAGTGGCTATTCCATTTATACCCGAGATGATAATAAATATAGGGTACACATTGAGAATTCTGTGTAAGGTAACACATTTCATGGGTATGTGGGCCGGCGCAATTTCTACCTTACTTTTGTGGATAATCGCAATTGATAGATACAGGAAAATATGCAAGCCTCTTGGTGGTCAGATTGCAGTATCCAGCGCTAAGTATATTGGGATCGGTATAGTTATATTTTCACTCCTCTTAGCTACAAGGCTTTTAGCAACGTACGAAATATTTAAGGTTAACGTTACGTTAACTGACGTCAATGAGACTATACAGACGTATTATTGTTCAGCTAGCGATGATGGCATTTTTAAACAGATTGGACTTGTATTTTATCTCGTAGATTTTTCTCTGAACACGATGGTTCTCGTGACAGTTATCGTGACATACTCGAGAATTATTTACGAGCTGAACAAACGAAGAAAGTCAATGAACAAGTGGGGAACAGTTAATATAAACAGCGTTAAGTCTAATAGGACCAGTCACAGCTCCGAAGCAACAAATGGTACTGAAACAGAAAGCCTGGGTAGTTCTACAGATGGCGAAACAGTAGGCAAGAGAGCCGAAACAGCAGGCAACGGTGTCAAAACAAATCAAACAGAAGTTTCTACAATATCAAGGAAAGTTTCTTCAAAGGATACCACAAAATCAAAAAACGAGGCGGCAACCATAAAGGACCCGACAAAGAATTTCGAATTTTCTACGGCGAAGAAACCTTCTGAGTGGAATCTAACGATGATGATGCTAGCAGTGTCTGTTTTGTATATCCTCTGTTTCACGCCGTATTTTACACTCCGGATCATCATCAGGCTGGTGTTGAAGACAGACAAAGAATATGATTTTGGTCCTGGAATCCAGTTTGCTTTGATGTTGCCATTCTTCAATAGCGTCTTTAATCCGATCATTTACAGCATTTTCAATCCTAAATTTAGAAGTTACATCGCTACGGTCGTATTGAACTGTCTAAAATGTAATCGTAATAAATAGTGTTTTTTTTAAAGAGTGAAACGTTTGTCGATAGGTAGTGAAACCTTTGTTGAGTGTCAAATATGAATGGAATAAAATTCAACTGGAAGGGCTAGGGAACTGAAAGTCAATATATAAAAAGTCCTTGTACATCGGTACAATGTACAGTAGAATCCCGTAAAACCGGAACTCCACTTAACCAGAAATATGGAGGGAAATGTTCGCCATATTTATGTATTGTATAAAATTATGTTGATTATCTTGATGACATGATTGTTTATATCTGAATAATACAAGTCCATGTAAATTAATTGCATTCTTATTCATAGATTTGCTTACTGTAATGTAAATATTTCAAACTGTGTGTACATGACTACTCTTCGTATCACATTGTTGCTTGTTTAACAGAATTAAAACATTGCCATTATTAATACATGACAGTGCCCCAATGCACATTTCTATTTATTCAACATAATTATTTGTGTTTTTGCTAGATTCCTTCTCATTTAACAAAATTTGTGTAAATATAATATATACATAATATTAACATATATGTATATTGCATCATTCATTCATTCATTCATTCATTAATTCATTCATGCAATCATTCATTCATTCGTTCTTTCATTTATTCATGTCAACATCAAGATATGTTTTGTTTGTTTTTAAAACATTTAAGTTGTGAACATAGTGCATATTTAAAGGTATACCGTTCCAAATGATCATACCATGATAAGAAATTGTGTCTTTGATATTATTTGCTTTAAGTCGTGGCCATAATACAATATCTTTTCGCGAGTTAGGTCTTAAATTGTATATTTTGTTGTCTGGTTAAGTCATCAATTCTGTCATATAGCTTTGTTCCGCCATTTGAATAGTTTCAAAATAAATAAAAGTTATGATTATATTGTATCAGCATATATGCTAAAATTGTAAGGAATTATAATTAAATCGCAATTGAGACGAAATCTATACGTTACATGTTTGTCATTTAAATTGTACAACTCTGCATGACGTATATATTAGTCTTTTGCAAAAAAAACCCAGATTATTCATAATGCGACCAGCTCGTTTTGCTTTTAATTTCTTTCTTTTTTTTGTTCACATATCTATGTACTTTTAAAATGCGGCCATTTTGTTTGTTTTGGTTATTATATTTAGGGCCTTTCATAAAGCAGCCATTGTGATTTTGTTCTAATACACAGCTCCTTTCATAATGCTGCTTCCTTGTTCGTTTTGGTTGTTATATTTTAGTCCTTTAATGATATTGCCATCTTGTTTTGGTTTTTAAATATAGAAACTTACTGCGGCCATTCTTTCATTTATTTGTTATATTTGGGTCCATTTATAATGCCGCCTTCTTGTTTTTTTATACCTAGGTATTTTTATAATGCAATAGCTTGTTTCGGTTGTTATATTTCAGTCATTTTATGATATAGCAAGCTTGTTTTGGTTTTTATATAAAAGTACTTTGACTTTGCGGCCAACTTGTTGGTGGTTTTTTTTTTTTTTTTTTTTTTTTAGGCACTTTTATTATGCAACTAGCTTGTTTGTTTTGGGTTTTCTTTCTAGACAACATCATCAAAATATTTATTTCCTTGTTGTTCTGGTTCATATATTGTACCTTCATAATGTAGTCACTTTAATAAACATTTTCATTTCTGCATTTACTTCCTTATATTGTAAAGAAACTTGTCGAGTTCGATCTTGCGTGTTCTCAGTTCCTGATCTAACCAGTACTAGTGCCACAGAATGATTTTCCCCAGTAGCATACAAAATCAAAGCACAGTAGGCGCTGAATTTGTTTGGGTCTCAGAATGTCAGAAAGGTGGAGGTTGTGAGATTATAAACCAATTTGTTTTTATAGTATCACCATGTTATAACTACAGTAAATTGGCTATAAGACAAATTGCAACACTGATATTCAATTCAATGTTTATTTGGCTAAGTAAAAAACAACAAAAAAAACACAAAAACATGAGATTGGTAGCCTTAACTGGGATTTGAACTCCAGACCTCTCGCTTCCAAAGCGAGAGTGTAAACCCCTCGACCACGGGGAAGTTGTAAAATAACAGCCTGAAGAAAACCATATTATTCTAAATAAGGGTTTCTAACCCTTATTAATTTCGATATATTTTGTTCACGGTAAACCCGATGTTTAACACTGATGTAAAAATCATGTAGCTTAATATAAGCATATCTATAAGAATAACACAATATGGGAATTCTTCGACCAATCGGGAATTTTTTTTCTTTTCGGAAATTAATGCGCCTTTCATAAAACGCAGTGATCTCCCCTTAATTTTTCGGCACAAATATAAGGGAAGTAACCGCTTCGAAGAGTTTGGACTACTTTCGGTATTTGCAATTAAGCACATCAGGGTCTGAAATTTCGCTACCATTATTTGTTTGGTCTGACAACCCAAACAAATAAAAACAGTATAATTGTGTACAGCTACAGACCCCAAGTTTACTTTTCAATTTTTACGTACATTTGTGTTTTGATAATAAAAATAACTATGTTGTCTCAACATTTTATTTTTATTAAATATATGGACTATGGTATTATGTAAATATTCATTAAAACTTGCAATCGATACTGACAGTACAATTATTACAATTTATTACATGCTTTTCGGTGGTTTATAGAAATATATCAGTGATATAAAACTGGTAATTTCACTGTTTGAAACAGTGAAATTACCACTTTCATAATTTCATTGTTTTGAATTTAAGCCCCTTACGTTGTTTCAGTGAAATACCAGCGAGCACAGTACTGGGTACCAACTTAATGACGTGACGTTTAAAATGACGTCACGTTGTATTATTATTTGGTGCGCTTTTCATACAGTATTAGATTTAATGTCAAAAAAACGTTAATTTCAATATAATAAAAAGAAAATTTGTTTAGTTTAGTGTAAGATCGAAATATATTTCACCTTGTGAACACCAAAAGTTCGTGAAATATACCTTTTGGTGCTCACTCGGTGAAATATATTCCGATCTTGCACTGAACTAAACAAATATCCTCTATATATATAACACAATGTATTTGTACACATTTATTTCCCTTTAACAATATGTAAAGCAGTAATGCAGTAATATCTTAATTTTAATATTTTCTTAAACTTAAAATATTAAGATGTGCTCAGTAGACCCATTTTAGATTGGTAACAGCATTTCGTCAACTTTTTACCATTACAATATCAATTCTTCAAAAAGTTTAATATAATAGGATATTGACATTTTTACAAGCAATTAAATAAATCACGTCACTAGAAGTACAATTTCCATCAAAATGCATTTCGAATGTTTCTCCCGTATTTGTACTAGTAAATATAAAGAGGATATTCAAGTGTTTTTTTATAAATACAGGATTTATTTTCATCGAAAGGTATGAAAATAAATATTTCATGAGTGGCGGTATCCACGTTTGAAATATGATAAATTTCATACCACATGATGAAAATAAATCCTGTATTTATAGAAAAAAAAACTTGAATTTTCTGTTTATCATAATTATACATTTTTCTTTTTGATATTACAATCTGAAAGATATACCCTTAGATTTTGTGTATTGGCTGAATTTAGAAAAACGCAAATCCGGCAAGACACGTAAAAATACGGAAAATATTTTTCACTGCAGTGAAAAATATTAGTTTACAGTGAAAATACGGAAAAATGAAAATATGCATTTTAATATATCAATATTTCTCAATATTTTATTTATAAGTATATAATAAACTATTTTCTTCAATATTCTTTAAGCAAATACATCTTGTTGTAGAGTGACATGTATTTAATTGGTTTATGAAATCATGTTACTATATCATTTAGCGGAGCCAATTCGTAAGTTTAAGATCATAACTGTTTTTTGTGTATTCTCCAGGAACTCATTTGTTGGCGGAAGGATTAAAGATGTACCACCCACCAGCAGTCAGGAGTTTTCAAAGTGGTGAATTTAAACTGTGTTACAATAGAGTGAAGATTTCTGAAAAAAAGTAGATGGCTAACCTATTATATTTTGGGCCTCATTTGACTTAAATAGTGTTGATGTTTAAAGTTGATGCGTATGTCGAGGCCATTAGAACTAACCATAGTGGTACCTAAAATTAGTAAACAACTTTCATTATTAAATCGACAATGATTATTTTAAGTGTAAAGTAAAAAAGAATGTATATTTCTTCTGTTGATAATTTACTACCATATTTTTTATTATCAAGGAAGTTTTTACAAGCAGCTATCCCACCTTCATTTATAATATTTGTATGCAGTGAAATAACATTCTTATTAGCAAGTACTGAACCTTGTGAAAGTCTTTGTAAAGATATTAATTTGCGTTAAAAAATCATAGTTATCTTTCACATAAGACGGAAATGATTTCATATATGGTTGTAAAATAAAGTCAAGGTATTTGGATAACTGTTACACACAGAAATAATCGGTCTGCCTGGAGATCTTATGGGTTGATTTTCATTATAATTATCTGTAGAACTTTGGGTATTACTAATATGACATCAAATTTGATTCTGGAAAGGTTTTTAACCCGACATCCTCACAACATAGACAGTATTTTACTTTTTAAAATATTTTGAACAATTGCATGAAAAATAAAATAAATCTGTGGATGTCACCTTTATATGTTAAATTCTGTACTTGTTTTGAGATTTCTGTTAATATCTTGCTTTTAGGGCTTTTTTATGGATTTATATGAACTATGTTCTTTATTTTACAAGATTATTTAGGAACACATGCAACGTATACTCGATTCTTATTATACTACAGGTTCTATTATACAATGAGCTCTTTAATAAAATACGTACTTAGATAACACAGGTTCTACCATTACACGGTTTCTGTGATATGACCGGTTATATGAAACCTCTTGTTCAATGCTACCATAGGTTCTATGAAACAACATGTTTGATGAATTCGATGATTTTATGATAACACGACTCCAAATTCAACCAAGGGTTCTAAAATATCATTGATTTTAATTAATACCACAAAATACATTATACCAATTATGTCTCTATGATACCTCGAATTCTATGAGATAACGTGTTCTATGACATCACGGATTCAACAATACTCCGGGTTTAATTGCAGGGTCTTTTTAACCACTTTTTTAATGATACAA